GCTTTTCGACCGATGACTGATTCTGATTCTAATTCCTTTATTATTTTATCATGATCCGGATTCTCTTCACCACTTGCTAATCGTTTGACAAGATCAAGCTCGAATTTATATTTTTCCGGCATCGCTTTTACACTTTCTTCAATTTCTTGCTGTTTTCTGAAAGTGATACCATTGAATGCATGCTTAATTCAATATTAGTAAAGATCTCCTTCTACATTTCAACAAGTACAAATTGCAGGAAAAAGACAAATAAAAGGGATGGAGAACATGCATGCTCTAAATTTTACAACCAACTCTACCTCTTTCCATCTTCTCCAGGACAGAGATCAGGAAACCGGTAAACCAGAATTGAGCAGGATTTTTAATTCCAAATTACAACTTAATGATATATATCAAACCTGCACGCTTCGTTTAAATCTAAACCAATCCAGTCGGCCTCTTCTAATGGTATTACAAATTTTGCATATTTACGCTTTATATAGTTGTGCTGTTCTGGATCATTTGGATAATAAGTGCCTTTTGCCAAAAGAAGCAGAATTTCACGCTTTAGTTTATTGCCAAGTCTAGAAAATATCGTTTTTGTAATCAACTAAGAATAAATTGGAAGTTCAAAACTCAACTGTTATAAAAGTGGATAAACCATTTATAAATTATAAATAACTATTTACTTATCTGCAGCAATTAATAATTCAAAAGTGTCAATGGAGAAAGATTAATTTTGAAGGACATTAACATTTATAATTTTTTAAGCATAAAAAATCATACTTTGAAGCGATATCAATTTCGGGTGTTTCCAACAAATATAAATCAAGTCCAAAATGTTGGTCGATCAAGCGGCACGTACGCTCCGTCACGGTAATTTTCATATGTTTGTCCAAAACTTCAGAATACGTAACAACTTTTTTCAAATGTGGAAAGAAAAAATGTGGTACCCACTGCCTTGGTAAAATCTGAAATGTAAATTTATTACTTTAACAATGGAATGAATTTATGCAAAATTATTTCAAATTTTTAATCAATTGATTTACCTTTTTTTTCGTATAAGGACGCGACTCTATGTAACCTTTCACTACTGTTTCGCCACCCCATAATCCATTATCAGCTTCTGGTGGATGGAAACCAATTATCGGATAATCCTGCAAAATGCGTACAGTTTCATTCATAACGAATGACAAAGTTAATTTAAAAAAAAATATTGATATCACTAAAATTTCTTAAACTGTCGAAATAGCTTGCTACAAAAGAATTCAAAACTATTCGTCTTCCGTTCTTTTATTCTTCTAACTTCACCACATCATTAGAAGATTAGTTTAAACCCCGTAAACTAGAATGAAACAATAAATGCATGGTAAGTTTTCATAATTTATAAATAACAGATGTTTCACAATAATTAACCTCCGTTTCTACCATCATACGACGCTTAGCATCCCATTCGTATCTGGATGTCGGTTTTCGATAATGCACAGGTTTTGCTTCACTAAGTACAAACTGCAAACAATAAAAATTATTATTTTCAATTCAGTAACTATAAATATTTCATGACGTAATTTCATTTTTTTTTCATTGGAAGATTAATTTAAATCCTGTAAATTAGGATGAAACAATAAACGCATGCCAAGTTTTCATAATTTATAAATAACGCACAAAAAAACAAATAATACGTGTGCATATTACGTTTTTTCCGCTCATGAATTTTCTTCTATATTACTCGATTCATTCAAAAAATTCACAAATTCACGAAATCTGCTATTATTTATCAAAATCTTATTTGATCATTAAAGATCAAATCAATTTGCCCATTTCTCACACTAATTTATTTTCTTTTTCCGACTTGATTTCAGAGAAATTTTCACGAGTTTTCTCCGATACTACACTTCAAATCATACCTCCCAGTATCTTTTTTTATAATGATGAGGTAAGCGATGTACAATAGAATTCTTATTATCCCAAATCTCTTTATTCCGTCGAATACGCTCTGCACGATCCCATGTAATTATAGGAAGTGGTGGCATGTTTGCCACAGCTTTCAAATTTTTTGCCAAACATTTGCTTGTCATTCTGAAATTTCATTATTCATGAAATAAATACTTTTAGATATTTTCAATAATATGAGAATGTAAAAGGATGATGCAATGTAAAAAAAAAAAAATAAGCCATTAAGTGAAGATAAATTTTAGTCGTGAATAAACTTCAAATTCCATGTATAGCTTAAATATAAATTTAAATCATTTGCTTTCGAGTTAATCGACGATTTATATTTGCATCTAAGCGAATATCCACTACATCTTATACTTCAGTCCTACACTTTTTAGTAAAATAACTTTTCAAATAAGGTTAATATATTTAGTAAATAACTTTTCAAATAGGACTAAAATGTGTAAGTACTGAACAAATATCCCTCAAATCATTTCAACCTTTGAATAATTATATTTTAAAAATACGTCTAATACGTTTGCATTTTACAGCATATAACTACTTATCACGTTGAAAACGCCAAGCATTTACTTTTCACACTACACAACTAAGCTTTGGTATAGATTCATTAAAATCTATTAAATTTAAATATTTGATTAAAATTTAATCATAATAACAATATATGTCTGAAGATTAACTTCCAATACCGTTGCCCCGTTTCCCTCAATTCCTGTCAAAACTTTGTGAGTAAAAATCGAAACTCTCACGTAAAAACCATAAAGAATTAGCTTAATTTAATAGCAACTCGTACACACACCCGAAAATTTCAAATCTTCTTTGCAACGTTTTACAGTCTAATTAAATAATGTTTTGCTCCATTTCCTTTTTATCAGTCTTTATCGTTTCTTCCACAATGATGATATTCTCTTCTACGCTCTCATTCTTCGCCAAATCCTACTTCTTTCTCAACTTGTGATAACATTATTTATCACTATTTTCATCGTTTCCCTCTGACACATTTCTGTGATAAAATCTTTTTTTCGATGCGCAGTTTTTGCCTACAAATTATTCTCCATGATTATTCCGCGGTATAACTCTTTTCCGTTACTCTGTCGGTACTTTCTGTTTTTTTTCATTGCTCTCATTTTCTGAAATCAACAAGAG